TGCCAAGTACTCCAGTAGGCATGACTGTTTTGAAGAAACTAAGAGTAGGGTCAAGGCTGGAAGGACTTCTTAAAAATAACAAGATAATCAAATTATCAGCTTTGAAGTGTGCTGTTCTTGAACATTTTCTTTTACAGCCTGAATACAGTTTGTATCATACAGTTTTCCTGTCATTGCAGCAGAAAATCAGGCAACCTCACAATTATTGTGTAACTGTTCAGTTTTGCTGTGCCGCACAATACTTTAAAGATGTGCCTACTAAAAATGACTTTTTTCCACAAAAAGAATGACAAGCTTCTGCAAAGTACAGTTTGTTTCCTCACAAACACATTTGAAAATATAACAGAAGGTATTTTTACAAAACCCATTCATACATCAGCAATGAAAACAAACCATTTTTCTTGAAACAAGTTGCCAGGAAAATATTCTAGGTTGCTTTTTTAAATGTTTGAGCTTATCAGGAATATGCTGGAGAATACATCCTGACATGACAAAAAGAAAAGGATTATTACATTGAAAGAACATTTTGATAGCATCTTTACTGGCAGAAGTGCTGGGGAAAACAGAGCAGAACGTGGAACAGGATGTTTATACAGCCAGTGAAAAGCATGGGGTATTTCATGGTATTTCTCATTCAAAACAGTGACATTTTATGGATCTTTTTATTTTCCCCACTAATACCTACAATGGAAGTAATATGTATGCTACTGCTTCTAAGTGTGGCTGGCAGTCCATTAAAATGGCCCATTTAGTAAACTTTATAGTTCTTCAATGCAAAACTGGTAGGTAAAGCTGAGAGTTACAGTATTACATGCAGAGGCTCAGCATTAAGTATTAAGTACTTAATTATTTTTCAACCACATGCTTAGTCAATTCCTTTCTCTTTTTTAAATATCCACTATGCACTATATAATTTACATCCTCTTTAGTTATCTTAATTTCACACATGCCTGATCCCCAGACTTACATGACATGATAATTAACATATCCATGCAGGAAAGGAAGTCAAACAGTTAACAAAAATAAGGAAATTAGTAAAACTGTGAACATCTTATCCTCATGAGCTGTATTAAACATTCAGAGGCAAATAAAATATTAACATTTATTTATAAAGACAGAAACTACAAATAGCGCTAGGCCTTTAAAAAAACTGAATAGTGAGTTCACCAAAAAATGGAATTTTGAGGGTCTGAACAGCATTGTGAATTTAAATCAAATGCGGCAGTGGCAGACATTTGAGCGGAAAGTAAGTTGGAGATTTTTTGTTAAAATAGTGAAACTTTATTTTTTCAAAATGAAACATCCATTTAAAAAATACCAAAATGTTTCACTTCAACAGATGCATCTACATATGCTATTAGCACAGAGCAATAAACTCTGGCCCATGTTGTGCCAGAGTTTATTGCTCTTTGGTGCCATGTTTGAATGTGTGCCTGGGACTGCAGCACGTTGAGCTGAGGCAGAGCAGCCCCGGCTGGCAGGGGACCTCCGGTGTCAGCCTGGCAGCTGGTGGCTGCTCCGCCCCGGCTCAGTGTGCTGCAGAGGGGCTGGCTGGGACACAAGGGTGCCTCAGTGCAGGGCTACCTACATGCCCCAGCCAGCCCTGTCAGCGTCTACACATGCATAGCTGCACAGAAAATAAGTCTGCTGTAGGACTACCCCGTAGCAGAGTTAATTAGTTTCTTGTGGCCTAATAGGGCTGCATGCGCAGACGCTTAGACTACTGTGGGTCTAATAAGGCAGATGCACCCAACATTTACTAAATGGAACTTTACAACTAAAAAAGGTTCAGAAAAGGGTTAATTTGAAAATTAAACAAAATATTTTGTATTTGGTCAAATTAAATATTTCAATAGTTAACTTGAAATTCTTTTTTTTTTTTCATTTTGCTGCAAAGAAGTGTGCTATGTGCTTTAGGTCAGTCTAACCTGCTTCTCCCTTTCCATTCAGTTTTCCTGCTTGGCTATAGAATGGAACCAAAAAAAAGCATTATTTATCCTGCTCTAATTAGGAGCTGTCAATCAGTAAACACATCTGTTAACTATGGTTGTACGTTAATTTAGGGTAGTTTTGCACTTGAAGTATTACACTGGATACAACAAAAAAAATCATTAAAAAATCATCACCAGTTTGTTTACTAAACACATGGAATCACTGGCCTTGAAACGAAAGCAGAACATGAACAATAAGTGAGAGAATTCATGAAGTCAAACCATAAAGCTAACCTACAAAGAGCTACTGGATTTGTTAGCCATGAGATTTTAACTTCCAAACAAATACACACACATTTTCAGTGCGGTCTGATGTGGAATTCTTGTTCTCCCACCCCCATTACTAAAACTACTTCATCAAAATTACACGTTCACCATAGCATCTACTACTGGATAGGGAGCCATGTAGAAATTCAAGGGGCTTAAATCAGTCAGTCTTTTCCATAAGCAAAATCATCCTGCCATGATGAGAAGATGGCATGAACATTCAGGTGAAAAGTCTATTCACAAATTGATTCTTCCTCATTCAGTGATAGCTTAACTCCCTGAGGTCTGTATTTCTACTTCACCATGCCTCTTAAAATTGACAATACAAAGATATCACTTCACTATGAATATGTGATTCTGGTAATACCCACTTTTGTACTGAGCATTTGATAATGGCCTATCTAAGGTCTACTACAGCAATAATGGGGCTAGCTACTAATAACATTCATTAGCATTGTGGAGGACTAAATTTAATGGTGGTTTGTACCAAAGTCAGTTATGTACCCTCTAACTGGACATCAGTGGGAAAGGTTTCTTGGTACGGCTTAATATTAGAAATGGAAGAGGAGGCCCCATTTTCTCTCTCTCTTTAAACTCTTGATTTGGGGAGAAAATCCCTTTTCTTATTTTCATTTCTGAGACCATAGATGCTAGATGAGTCCTAGCTTCCTGCTACCAGAGATAGCACTTATTAGGAAAGGAGACTGACATAGTAAAAGAAGCTCAAAGGAACTCGGTATCTTTTCCTTATGTCCTTTGAGGTCTCCTATTGTAATCACCATCCTTCTGTCAAATGAGGAATGGGTGGAACTCATCAACCACGCTTCTTAATTGACTAAAATAGCTACTGTTGAATGACATGAAATACTACTGTTTTACTTGGCGGGGAGGGGGTGGTGTGGAATATGCTGCCTCTACTACAGCATTATTATTTCCTATTGGCCCACGAAGCAAGACTGGAATCTAAAACCAAATCTATAACACTTCAGTGCAGAGCGAAGGCCACTGATGGCTGGCTGTGGCTAAGAATATATAGCTTCCCAATGGTGGACAAGTATAAAAGGTTTCTTCTCAGAATCATATTCAGAACTTTACTCCCAGGGGCTGTCCCAAAGCACTGTTGTAGTTATTCTCCCTCATCCACCAATTAATAGTCTGCATCTGGTAAAACAGGATAGCAAATCTGCAATCCTGTTTAATCCAATGATCTATACAAGAAGCTACTGTTATTGGACATGCTTCTGTTTTAGGAGACCACCCTAAAGTATCTCCAAATGGACTTGGTAGAAGGACTCCCTCACTAAACACAGTATTTTCCAGTCCCTGACCTAGTTATTTGAGGCCTGGTCCGAAGTCCACTGAAGCAGGGAGGATGTGGTCTTCCCATTTGAATATACTGTGTTTTGTATCAAGCTCTTAAAATAGGCTCACTGTAATTAGCTTGGAGCTGGGAAGATTAAATCAATGTCAGAAATACCATGATCATAGCTTCACTAGGAGTAGACATTTTCATTATTTGGGCTCATTAAGATATTGAGCTGCTTGTGTTTCCATCTTTTTTATATCTGAGCAGGGATCACAAACACCAGTACAAACCTAAGAAATCACAAGAGGACTGGGAGAGATCTATTAAAATACACTATCCATAAGAAATGGGTGGATTCTTTATAAATTCTGTGCAAGGTATAAATAGTTCAATGGCCTTAAAGTCAGTATAATTAATTACAACTGGAGCCTCTATCACATTGGTACTTTAGATTTTAAAAGTTTAAAGTGTTTGTTAGGTAGGCCCCAAATCCTGAGTCATATTAAACAAAATATGAATCTGAATAATTGCTGTTGGTGTTCAAGTATCAATGAATAGCAGTTCAAAGATTTATGATTAGATATGAGAAGCCTGAGAATAGAAAGAATGTTAAAAATTCAGGTATAATAGGAGAATATGTGATTTTTGCCCTTTTAACTTAACCCTGCACCTGAAATTGATACTAGTTCCCCTCAGAAGTTCTTGGCAGCTTTATTAAATCCCTACTGCATTTCTAATCATAAAAGCTATGACCTAGATGAGAAGCAGACAAAGCTCTTTGGGTAAATCTGGGATCTTTTATTAGACCAACTCAAATAGTTGGAAAAATTCTTTTGGATACCCAAAAGCTTGCAATGAAGAATTTTTCCAACTATTTGAGTTGGTCTAATAAAAGATACTGGATTTACCCAAGGAGCCTTGTCTGCCTATGTCCTTAGACCAACACAGCTACAACCAATACACCTGATGACCTAGATGAGTATTTCTTAGCTTGCCAACTGCTACAGAAAGTTGTTGGTTTTTGTTTTTTTTTTACAGGCAATTCTCAGACTATTTCATTTCATGTTAATAACATGTGCCATATGGCTTGGAGTTTTACTTTGGGAATCAGAGTATATGAGTTATGTTCTTTTGCATGCACTTATTTAAAGGTTTTAGGAACAAGTCTGAGTAAGGAAGTCATCTTTCTAGATCAGTAAAATCCTTTTAAACAAAATCCAAACAATCACTATGAGTTTTATAAATGCTTAGTTACTCTTGTTCTGGCAGACATGGCTTGTCAGAAGGAAACATGCTGGGTTAAATTTAAAGTGTTTTCTTCTCTGGGTCTGGAAGTGTGAGAGTTTCTGGAGCAGATTTTTTCCGAGGTCGGTCTTTGGGAACAGCTAGGAATTCAGGAGCATCTGTAGAGAGAGGAGTTGATGGAGCGCTCGAAGGTGCACTACGGGTTGAAGAAGGCAGGGATATGTTAGAGATAGATATTGTAGGTGGGAAAATCCCAATTTTCTTGTTGGTGGCTTCCTGAGTTGCTCGTTCAAACTCTCGGACTTCATCCATTGTCATGTCTTCAAAGAAAAGAAAAGAAAGACAAATGGAAAGTTAGAACCATTTCAAGGGTGATTTCATTAATGCAGGTCATCCAACCTCTAAATCACAGGGCATGTGCTCATCTCAGTGTGAGGATCCACACGTCAGAATCCTGCTAGAATTAATAGGGGTTCTGGACAATTTTTTTATAAAAGGCCACTGAATTCAGGTGCCTGGCTTGATGTTCCCTTAATGCTTGATTTTCTAAGATTATGAATAGTCTTGAAACATTTAATCTCAGGCAGAAGACAGAATACTTTAGTGCTTCAGCAAGTAAAAGGTATCTCAAGTTGGGCACCAAAGAAAAGAAGGAACCCAGAGTGAAGGACTATTCTGAAAGTGTAGGCATTAATATTTACAAGCCAGTAAAAAGATATAACACTTTAGGGGGTCATCCTGTTTCCAGCAGTCACTGGAAAAATTCTCACTGACTTCAAGGGAAGCAGGACCATATCATGAATTCCAATTTTTTTTATTGTACAGTACTGTAATTTATAGTAATGCAAACCATTTCCTGTACATGATTTTTTCATCTGCTTTATCATTACTATACAATGCTAATAACATTATTTTGTAACTTATTAAAGTGCCTGGAATTTCTTTTGGGGGCCAACAGCTTGGACATTATGGTTGTTATATACCCTTTCAAGATGCATTTACTCCCCTCACAAGATATAGTTCCATATTGATCCTAATAATGAGATATACTTCTTGGCTCAAGTCATTTGACTGCCATTAATTGAGATTGCCTAAACATAGGGAAGTCAATTGGAAATTTGTAGTTGATTTCAAAGAAGAATTCCACTATTGCATTTTTTTTATTTATATATAACAGGTGGACAGGTCTGAAGGCATAACCATCCTATTACACTGTACAAAAGTTGGTGATTATTTTTAATACTCTTTGGAAAGCTCACTACTATAATGTCTTCAGAATACTGAAAAATAGCCTTTAAAAAAAAAAGAAGCTGAGCCTACTTATTACATATGAGCCTACTACACACAGGGTTCTTCAGCATCTGGTTTTGAATTAAAAGATATTACTTCACCGATTGCTTCAAAAATCCAACCTTTTGGCAGAGAACTAAGAAACAAACTGAAATGATTTTAATAAAAATTGATTTTTTTCTGAGCTACTAACAAAAATAATGGATTGAAAGTTATAAACTGAGTATAACTTCAAAGAAGCACTGACACAGCACTGTTGTTAAGGGATGTAAAATTCTCCCCTTTTCCAGGCATAGAGTATGCCCAGCTTCTGTTGACTTGTAGCAGGAATTGCATGCGTATCTGTGAGGGCATTGCCCACTGTGTCTTCTTGTTGGTTACTATTCACATCATATGGATTAAGCCAAAAAAATCCCTTGTTAATTTACTGAGGTCAAAATACATCTTCAAACTTCCCCATCCAGAAGTCAGAATGCTTTAATAAATTACAACCAGGTCACAAACCAAATACTTCTTACACCGGTGGAAAATATGTGAAAATGCTACTAGATCAGACTTGGTAGCATTACACTGGGCACGTCTACATGTGCATTAACGCACCGTAAGTACAGTGTATTAAGGTTAGTACCTGTAACAGTTGATTATGGTGCATTAATAACAGGTACTAAACTTAATACACCATAATCGGCACTACTGCGCAATAGTGCCGGCACACATCTTTTAAGTGATGCTAATGTGCAGTAGGCTAATTCTGCATATTAGCACAGCTTTTGCCATGACATACTAATGCACAGTAGAATTAGCCCACTGCACTTTTAGCGTCTCGTGTAGACATGCCCACTGTTAGTCGGAACAAGTGTAAATGATGCTACAAGGTACAAGCCAATGGTGAATCAGGCCCACAGACTGCTTCTCTACACAGCAGAGAAATCCTTTAATACAGAAATGATTAAATGGACCTGACATATCATCACTGCTGTATGCATCCACAAGAGGGCAGAATTAGCACATTCAGAGTAAGCACATTCCAGGAAGAATTGTACAAAATCTTTCTAATAAAATACCTAATCAGGTGAGATTTAGCTGGTTTTTCTCTACAAACACAAAATTCAAAGTAGCTTCAGCAAAAGGTCAGCAACATTTCCTCAAACCTGGCACAAACTACACAAACAAGAAATAGGCTTGCAGGAAGCTACTGCAACTTGGATTTTCCAAAAAATTCACAACTCCAGTCTCCAAGCTCTTTAAAATAGGCAGTCAGTAAAAATTATTTCCCAGTACAACAAATGTTTTTATAAACACTCTTTAGGCATTACATTATATGCAATAATAGATGTATGGGAAGCAAATATCAAGAAAGAAGTTTGTCCACGTTGCTGTACACAGTATTTCTGCAGCTGCTAATAACCCTGCTCCTTCACAGTGAAGACACGACTAAAGATGTGCCATGTATCCTCTATATGAACATAGTTTATTATATTTAAACAATGGAGTAGATACAAGTTACCAGTACCATCGTTATTTTCCTTTGCCCAGTACTGCCATCTCTCAAGACTGTATTGCAGCTTTTGTGATATTTTGCTGTTTTTCTTTAGGCCACATGTCTAGGAGCTGGGATTATATGAGGGCTCAACTTTCATTTTATAAAAAAGTAGGTTTCTAGCCTTGGGGACTGTAGGAGCTTCAGCCAGAAAACATGAACTAATTTTTGGCTCACAAAACAGAAGAGCAAACATCTAAAAAATGCTATTTGAAATGTTTATAAAATCCTTCAACAAATTTCATGATTTTTAGGGTTTGATTTTTTAAGGATTGATATTTGTAATACTGCTAGCCATGTGGATACTATCTGCTTCACATAGCAAACTCAAATACTAGCTCTATATAACTACCCTGCATTTTAATATTACACAGTTGCATTACTTCGTAGCTTTGGCTATAAAATGTTTTGGGACACTGATGTGTGAAAGACGCTCTATGCTTTTTTTTCATAGAATCATATAAAATGATGAAAACCCTCATACAGTGCCAAATGCCTTCTTCTTTCCAAACAGACTTTACTATTCCAGGGGCATTTTCAGTCTACAGCAGCTCCTGTAGCTTGGAGAAGAGCTTATTTAAACTGGATTTGCCCCGTGTTAACATGGCAGTAAGCTGAGGAGCTCAAAGGAATTGTACTCACTTGTAACAGGAATAATTTTGGTCCCGTTTTTCTGATTTACATTTCTTTAACTTACTGTGTCATTGTAAATTGTTTTTTGCACTGAACACCTAATACAAAACCTGATGTTATAGAGAGTCTTTCCGTTGACTTCAATGGTTTCTAGATTAGGCATTTTACTAATTCAAAAAGAAAATAATATAGTGCTTGAATGAACTGGAGGGAAAAGGAGAGGAAGATTCCCCAGTAAGAAAGCCATCAGCATGAAAAGTATATTAATGGAAGTCCTATCAAGTGACCTGCTCTCCATCTGGTCATCTCCGAGTTAGATGGGGAGCACTCATTCTACCTGTACTTGATTTTTGCTTTTTTGCCTATACTCATCTCAGATTCTCTCACATGCTGATATGTGCTCAAATAAAACTAATCCTACACTGAGCTGAGAAGGACTCAAAAATATGAGACTCCATTCTGTCTTTTTTTAGAAGTTAATAAAGGCCCAATTCTGCCATGGCTATAATTGTCAATTTGGCCTAAGTCAGTGTTGAAAAGGACTGCAGGCATTTTTAGCCAAAGTTCATATGGCCAAATCTTACGTCTTTATTCACATGGCCAAATCTTATGTCTTATGTCTGATTCTGACCTTGCTAGTAGAAACCTGGAGTAACCCTGAAGTCAATGGATTTGCACTAGTATAAATCTGGTGTGGGATAAGAAGCAGACTCTCAGCAATTCCTTTTTGGTAATCTTTCAAAGTCAGTCAGAGCTTTAATGATGTAAGATATGAAGAAGACCATAATAATCTAGCCTTAATGATCTGCCCTATAATCTTTACTTGCGCAAAGCCATTGTTCACATTAATGAGAGTTTTTTCTGAGAAGGAACATTTCATATTAATATTTTAAGAGAAAAATGTCACAGCATCTTCTTTCAGGACCCTTGTTTGTGGTTTATCAAAAAAACATCAAACATGACCTTGAAGGCATCAGGGGAAAAATCCTTTTAGCCTTTTCCCTGTTGGCGCAAATAATTTCACCAGCCACACAAAACTTTTCCACTCTCCAAGTTCTTGGCTGTTTGATTGACGCAACCTGAACATTCATATGGCTTTGAAAAAATCAGGATCATTGGTAGCCAAATCTGACACGGCTGTGTTCTTGATCCTACTAAAATTGTTGGCACACCCAAGGTTTGGAGGGGAAGGGGGTTAAATTTTTTTCTCCTGCCAGATTGGGAGCTGTAGATGAGATTGACATCTTTCTTTCTTACATCATAGGGAGTTCAGGGTGTAATGCACATGCAGGTTATAGTCTATGGGAATTTATTCTGCTCTCACTGAAATCAGTGTTAAAACTACCACTGATTTCAGTGAGAGCTGGATCAAGCCTAAAGTTGTTCCCGCTTCTTGTCATTTGCATGTGCGGATTCGGCGAGAGTGGGCAATATGTTTCAAAAATCTACATACTCTTTCTTTGGCATGGCTCTCTATTTCATCCACAGTAGATGAATGTTGACTGCAAACTTTAATGTTGGTTTTCTCATGCATATTTTTCTCGTATTCTCGAACATCATCCATAGTCATATCTGCAAAAAGTTCAAAATGTTGGCATTTTCCATTAATTCAATGCAAACTTTAATAAATAGGAAGATGCTAGGGATAGATAATCTTTCAGCAGAAGCCAAAGAAGGGTTTTTGAAAAAAAAAAAGCGGGGAGCCAACTAGCTTTATGAAAAATTGATCATAAAGGTAGTTAAACCAGCTGAGGAAAGTGGAAAAAGGTTAAGTCAAAGGGAATACAGAACAGGGAGGAGTGGAAATTGTTTAGGGGCATCTATGTAGAGTGAGCTAGGCAAAAAGTGTTGGAGTGCAGGCATAGGTACAGGCAAAGATCTTCTAAATTGACTTTAGAAGATACTCTAGAATAAAAAATACCCCTCAGATATATCATAAAGATTTACTTACCTTCTAAGAAACTTCCAAAGAAAACTCTATAGCATTATCTTTAGTACAATATGGCATGTTTTATAACAAAAAGACACTTTCATTGTTGAAGCTTACATTGGCTCAAAATACAGAAGCCAACATAAAATCACCACACTAAGGCCAGGTACAGACATTACATTTTTACTGGTGTAAGTGATTGGAAACCAGTCTATTCCTGTAACAGAACAGACGTTTGGCGCACAGACTGGTTTAAAAATGGCAGAACCTGGTCTAAGATTTGCCACCCCCACCAAAGGGTGAACATTTGCTACCGATCTAAACTATGCCCCTTACAGAAAACGGTGTAATTTAGACTGATTCCACCTTGGGCTTTTTGATTACCTGTACCTAGCCTAAGTGATTTACTAGTGGATACTATAAAAAGTTTGCTTTATACAAGTGAAAACAATACAGAACAGTCCTGAATGTTAAGAAAGGGTAGCATGGCCTGGTTATGTCTGATACTGTCTGATATTGTCAGTTTACAGAATAAAATGGTATATGACAGAATCAATTAGAAGTCTGTTAAATGAGCTCTATTTGAGTACTAACAAATCCTTTCCTTATCTTAATTGCAAAAGGAAGTTTGGGTTTTATTGCATTTTAAGGTAAGAAGATAAGTAATCCAGTTAATCACAAGGGGCAGTACACTCACTGTCTTCAGTGCATTTAATTGCTTAGTTAGGTTTTATTCAATGTGAGAATCTGGTCCATTCTTTTCAGTGTCCTGGAAGTATCCTGCAGTCTTTGTTTGTATGAGTTAAACTCGACTTCAGTAGCCTTTCAAATTTTTAAGCACACCGTTTACTAAAGATGTAATGTTAGCTGAAATTTTCACAGCAGCTAGAGATTATTGGGCTCTTGCTGCTTCCATTTTTCTCAAGTGTTTTCTGCATCATTTGGATTTGTGGCATTTTATGACCTGCTGCTTCCTTTTAGATCAGGCGTTTTCAACCTTTTTGGATTAGTGTACCCCCAGCAGCTAAACGCAGGCCCCCCCCCGCCACTTGCCAGCTTCCCCCACCCTTTGTGTCTGGCCGGGCAGGCGGCGCCTGGGCGGCAGTGTGGGATGGTTCATGGCACTACTCCGTCCCCACCCACCCATGTGTCCCCCCTAGAGCCTTCTCAAGCACCCCTAGAGGTACAGGTACCGCCAGTTGACAACCCCTCCCTGTCTTATATGATATGAGGCTTGTTTCAGTTAACAAGAACACACGTGACGTGGAATGCATCACTTATCTCGTTAGTTCAACACAACAGAGCGCAGTACTTTTTCACTAGTGGTTCCTTTCTCCTTTTTAATACCGATCGCAAAGAAACATGAAATAACATTAAATGAACTATCATTTAACCTATTCTTTTTACTATTACCCAAAATGAAAAAAACAAGCTAAGAAGCAATGTAAGTAGCATGCTAAGGAGAAAATTTGCCAAGCAGAAAACATGCTCTTTATTAGCAAAGTCTGAATGAACAACAGTATGAAAATAGATGTACCTCAGGATAAGGTTAAATATATGTTAGTCAAATCAATTATAAAATACAGTAATACTCGACTCAGTAAAAACAATGTCTTTTCTTTATCAGTAGTTGATTCTAATATGCAATGGGCCAGATTCTCAGCAGATGTAAACTGGTACAGAACTCATTTGATTCTTCTGAGCTGATTTACACCATTTGAAAATCTCTCCCAAAGCTTTTAGCTTTAAAATTATCACTACACATATTGGAGGGACACTGTCAGTTTAAAAATGATATATTTGAACTTTTCCTTCTCTCTGTCATTATGAGTACTGGGGGAAAAAATCCAATTTACATGATACCATATTGTATATTTGCTATTACATTTCACTCAGCTTCCTAAGCAAAATTAGTAGTTTTTTAGTCAATTTTCCATCCAGAGTTTCATGCTGCAGTACAATGCTACAATAATCAGCTTGCAGATCACACAGGGGAGCATTTAAGTTAACTTCCTCCATTTATTTTCTGCTTTCCTTTTATTTTTTTCCTTTGCTATAAAAACTTCCCATTAAAGTTTGGTTCGTAAATTCATTTTCTTGCTTTTTTACTAAGCCTGGTTTTGAGGTTTAAACTGCCTGACAGTGTCCCTTTAAAAACATTTCACTTGGTTTAAACCCTAAAGAGTGAGTATATATCATAATTCTGTATATCGATAGCTCATTTACTTGTGAAAACAATTATTTTAAATGGGGTGATTCTAAGGCTGTGGTGGAGAGATATGTAAAGATTTTTCTACCTTTTCTTTTTAACTTTAAGTTTGTGCAGAAGGATTTTGTTGAACAAGGAGGAGATGACTTGTACTTAAAATTAAGCCCACCCTTACTTGTTTTCCTAAACTGGCTCTAAATGATGGCGTTGTCTGATACCTGCTGGAAATTCAAAGAAACAGTCTCGCCCCTCTCTTTTCACAAAGACTTACATGTATGGTGGGTACGGTCAAACTTATGTAAATGCTTCCATGTGAGCTATATATATTGTACTCCCATCAAAAACAATTTACCACTTTTCACCAGATTTTGCCATCCGAATACACCTAAAACTTCTTTTGAACTCAAGAAGGCCAGATCCTGTACTGGTGTCCCCTGATATAGCTCCATTGAAGTTAGTGGAAGTGCAGTAAGTTGCTCCAACATCAGATCACCAAAAAAGTTCTGACAGTTTGAGAACCACAAGCTCATTCTTTACTATGAGCCAGCTTTTGATGTTGTGTTTGGATGACATGTTGCAGGTTAAATAATCAGATTATAATGCTTTTTTTTTAAGAGCATAAATTTTAGAGATCAGACGAACAGATGGGCAGAGCTTAGGAGTGACCTACAACCACTATCTGGCTTGATCCTGAAAGCTGCTGAGCAGCCCAGTCCTGATTCAGCAAAGCATTTAATCCCATGGTAGTCAATGGGGTTACTCATATGCTTAAAGTCAAACACATACTTAAGTACTTTGCTGGGTAAGGGCTAAACAGCATACTCTGAAAATTACAGGACTGATCTCATATACAGTTCTTCAAAGTAAACTTACCAGAGTAAGAATGTATAGGTAGATGCCTGTTTTCATCATATGGCATAGCTCCATTTTTCACATATTGACAATAAACTCAGATTAGACAGGAAATAGAAAATGAGCACAGTAACATGAAAAAATATATCCAAAAGCATGTGCACATGTAATAGGGGAAACTACAGTTTTGCCAGTAAAAATGTGGATTAAATAGTGACCAATTTTCCAGGGAGAGCTCTGGAACAATGATGGGCATTAAAAATACACCAAGAAGGTACAGATTTTATCAGATATCACTTTCTCTTTTGCTCAGTGAATTATGCAATTCCTTCTGAATTCCAGTTATGCAATTCTGAATGTTACTGCTCTCTCCTGTTGTACTTGCTGATATTTCTTCTTATTTTGGCGTGATTCCTTTCAAAATTTCTCCATTTGAGTCACTGAGATATAAGAGAACATAACTGATCTTTGTGGCAATCTGCTTGCCTCTTCTCTTTCCCTTGTGAACTGTCTTCTTGGTCGTGAAGCCATCTTAGTCATTCAAATGCTTTCCTGATCATACCATACCTTCTGACTTCATATCATGTGTTTGGTACTTTGTCAAACTTCTGTTAAGATTCCAAGTCAATCTTGGCTTCCACTGATGTGTCTTTGTTTCACTCCTCAATACACAGTATCATCAGATCTGTTAGGCACAGCCTGTGTATGCAGTCAGGCTGCTCTATCCTTATTTAAACTCTACCACTTAAACCCTTCTTTGATTAGTGTATCAAGTCATGCATAAAGACCAATCAGGGCTTATGAAAGGCAAACTGAACTCCAATGTTATGGAAATTGTTAAATTTTGTAAGAAATGTGAACGCAAATGGACTTTTTGAAATAAATAATTGACAGTTGAAAGCATGGGATTCAGCAAACATCAGCAGTGAACACACTGTAAAATATCTCATTTTCTAATCTATTGTTAGCTCTGAAACAAGTAGCATCAGTGTGTCCTACACGTGCCAGACAAGGTACCCTCAAAATCCTTTAACCTGGTGGATGCGTGCTGGCAACTCATTCACATGAGGAAACAGAGATAAAATACAAGCACTATCTTACTAAATTATAAGTTAACTTTATAAATTAAAGTTATTGTCAGATTTACAGTCAAATAGCAAACTGGTTCATTCTGAGTGCAGCAGCAGTGGGTTATTCATTTATAGTCTCTCAGTTACCTTCTGAACAATGCACAATAGCTTACATTTTTAAGTGAGAAATATTTAACTGGACTCTTCAGAACCAGTACTATAGACCATTATAGTTGTTTTAAATATGAGTTTAAAAAACATTGATCATTAAGCCACATGGAATACTTAGCTCTTTATTTCCATGCACACTTTTCTGGAAAATTATACAACAAAATTTCTGAAAAATGTCTAAATGTGGAGGCATTAACATTTAGACAAAAGTATAATCTAAGATTTTGCTTAGCTCAGAATCATTATTTGAACAAAGGTATAAGAAGCAAATTCTTCAGCCATTGTTAATTTTCACACAAAAAAAAATTGATGTCATTAATTCTATTCAACTTTGCAGTTAGCTAAATTCATCCCTGGTGTGACAGCAATGATGCCAACACATTTAAACTAAGGGCAAATTTGTTTCAATTCTTAAAAGAAAGTTTAACCACTGTTTTACTTTTCTACATTGGAGCCTGACATAACTGTACTGTGCAATTTACATTACATGGGTATTTGTTAGTTTTTATTTCTTGCCATAGAGTGGGACACTGTTTCTTGAACATGTTGCACGTGAGGAAATGGCAAATCACAGGTCCCCTTGCACTAAAACAATTAGAGAACATATAGTATTGGAAGTGTAAGAACAAATGAAGGATCAACACCTATATTGGGGTAACCCTGGCAAAATTTTCAGTAGCTCTCAATCTTTTTGAATCAGTTCTCCAGTACTCAAATTTTACTTCGTCATTCATTAGTCTTCTCAAGCAGACATTTTCTATGGCCTAAAAAAGGAAAATCCTAGTCCTTCCCATGCAAAGGTCAAACTGAGCTCCTTGTACAGAGCTGCAGATTCATAGATGCTAGGGTTGGAAGGGACCTCAACAGATCATTGAGTCCGACCCCCTGCCTGGGCAGGAAACAGTGCTGGGGTCAGATGACCCCAGCCAGATACCTATTCAGCGTTCTCTTGAAGACCCCCAAGATAGGGGAGAGCACCACCTCCCCTGGAAGCCCATTCCAAATTCTGGCAGATTGATAATCTACAGAAGTCCATTTTACACACTCAACATTTTTTAAAGATCAAGTTCCCAATAATGTTTTACAATCTGCATGAGCAGAGGTGCCTTTTTGTGTAAAAAAATATATTGTTCATATTGGGAAATAAAGATTCATATTCTTCTCCTTTCACCATTGCTATACAGAGTATGGTGAGCCAACGGTGCATAATGGGGGCACAAGAACTGTCCAATGCATAAGAAAGATTTTCGATACAGTTCTCCTGACTCATCTTATGAATGCAACCAGAAACTTTACATTCCATGCTGGCTACAGCTGCTTCTCTGATGCTGATTCCTATGTAAATTGCTCCATTCCTGTTATGATTTTCTGAGTTCTCTTATGCAAGTGACAGAAGAGGAATTCCTCAGTCTTTAGTTGCAATCTGTGCTGAAGTTCATCAGCAGCCAAAACACTGGCAGAAACAACTATGTGGTCATGCATCTTGGATGTTCTTTTTTGTTGAATGCCACACAGACAGAATGCTTGTTTAATTACACAAAGAAATCCCACAAAATGAGGACATGTCCTCAGGCTATTGACAGAAATGAAAAACAAGCTGAAATACTGCCTTAAATTGTTAGATTTTTCTAAATTTAGCCAAGCAGTCAATAAATAGACACAATAGCCACGTCCAGACAAGCATGGGCATGTGCTTGTAGCGGCACAAATTTGTGCTGCTACTTTGTGTCACAGCGCGTGCCCCTGCCCATGCGTTTTGTTGGGGAACACATTGTCCTCCTAAGGGCAAACTGCCGTGCCCAGTTCCTCCTGGATCCTGGCATGCTGCTGTAACCAGAGGAGGGGACTGGCTGGGGCACAGGGTGCCTGTGTGGGGCTAGCTGTCAGGCTGCCCCCACGCTGAGGCACCCTATACCCCAGCCACCTGGGGAGCGGCCCGGGGCCTGGGCCTGCTCCCCCATCTCCATGGAGCCCCTGTGCTGCCTGCTCCTCTGTCTCTACATGTCCCAGCACATGCTATTTTGGTGTGCTTCGTTTCACTTTTTTTTCCAAGGGTATTTTTTTTGCTACTGGGATTTCCTGGTAGCAAATTTTGTCCCCTGAGCTGCAAATTAGCAGCACTGCACATGGTTTAACATGCAACGCATATGGTTTGTGGCACCACAAAGAGGTGTGTGGTGCCACAAACTGCATATGCATGCATGTGTGGACACAGCAAATGGTTTCTGTCAGCACTGCTGCCTTCTTTAGATACCATGTAAATCAAATACTTGTGATCAGAGTCTACTGCATAAAGTTCAGTGCACATTTTATGTCATAGTTCAATGTACTAAAAGAATAACAAGGTACACATTACTGTTGCTTGTTACTTGTAATCAGCACTATCTATCTATATCAATTCATCTGTCTCAAAAATCAAATTTCCTCTCTGAAAAGGAGACGATAAAAGATGATGTAAGATAAACACACCCCATGATATCAATATAAAACAAAGCTTAAGGAAATGAAGGAGCATGGTTTTCATTAGAAAATATAAGCAAAACTAGTATTTGTAAACTCTCATTTGTATCTAGAGCATACTTGATGTCTGAGCATTGATTCTAGGTGTTTTTGAAAGCTTATAACCATAGTTCATCAAATAAAAGTTTGCGGAGGTATGGGACATATGCCATATGAGGAAGTCCAGCTCATTTTCAATTGTTTAGAGATGCAGAATCCTCTTACTGGTTTACAACTGTCCCTAAATTAAAAACCCCGGAGGAAAAATAAAAGACCCATTTTAACTCTGCCAAAATGTTTATGACTGCGACACCATCATACATGTATTCTCATGCTTTATTAAAACTGTACAATAAGAGAAGTTGTGATTTTAAAAGCAAATTCTTTTTTAGTTTCTAACTAATCAGTACCCCATATATGCAAGCAGATTCTTAGCTGATGTAAATTTGTGAAATCAAGGGTGCTATGCCAGTTTACATTAATCAGGAGTAGTCCTGGATGGTAAGCAAGATAACCAAGGTACCTAGAAGCAAGGTAACGTAGGACGCTTCTGAGTGCTGAATGCATTATTCTGTGAATCAGGCTTATATGTCCCAAAGGTTATTCACTGAAGAGTCCAAAGCAGTGTTTCTGTGAAACTCAAGGAGATTCTAACTAAATTTTCTTTTTTTAATAGATTTCCAAATTGCAATTCTCTACATTTTCTAAACAGAGCTACATATATCTATGATAATGAATACTTTCATGAAACAATCTGTAAAAGGCACAAACCTGAATGCTTATTTGTGCACTGATAAAATGTAATAGACTAGTTTGATGTTCACAATTACCCTGTACAATTCAAAGCACCCATTCCTGCAGCTGCTGCATGGATTCAAAGGGAATTTAGTGCATGCAGCTGCTATTGAATCAGACCCAGTAGATTTTAATTTGTAGCTGTTATATCCTTTTTTTTCCAAACAGGACTGCAGAACTCTGTGTTTTTTTTCTATATTGCATGTTAACACTTTAAAATCCATTCCGAAAACCTGAAATTATGCTGGAAATAACACGGGCCAAATGGAGACCTCAAGGACCTGCAATATGGAGATGATTCTACATTAGTGCTACAAAAGCAGAGTTAATATTAGGTACTATTTTCAATATAGATTGTTCCTAACCTGGACTTCAGTGAACTTCCAAAATGCAGAGTGGTTGGATCATGGGCATATATATGCTCTAAAATGCATGAAATCATATGTACTGTCCAACCCTCTGAATACTATCTGACTAACTCTGGCAATGAAGGATCTGCTGAAAGCACGTTCTGTGTTTGGAGGCAATGAGATGGGATACAATGGGATGTAAAAGTAGCCCCCACTCTCAGTAAAGCTGTTTGGCATGTTGTACAAGGAATGAATAATCTTTACATTTTGGGCTTGATGGTCAGTGAAAGTAAATGGAACTGTTTCCATTTATTTCAGTGGGTTTGGATTAGTTCCTTTACAAAGCTGTTTTGTTAATTAATTTTGGAAAGACAACTTACCGTACCACTCATCAACCCACGCAAAAGCCTGTCTGTGACCAATCAGTAATATGTCTCTGACCACCTGTGGAATAAGAAAAATGGCTGAAGTTATCTTTTGTACCAACCAAAACATTTTAGAATAATAAGCTAGGGTAGCATCATATTTTTTCTACAGAATCTAAGAATATAAAATCCTAAAATCTGAGACTCTAAAAGGAGCTTTGGTGACATATGCTATTTGGGAACAGATACAACAAATGCATTAATCGTTGGCAAGGAAACTGGAACTCCCTTCTCTTTCATTTTTCTTTTCATCTCTTGCCATGTCTTCTCATGTATAGAAAGTTGATAAATGTAAAGAATCCTACCACATAGTGATTGTGTCATTAATTAATTAATTTTTCGACAAGTAGATTGGAAAACTCCCACTACCTGCCAGAACTGTAAAAATTCCTGGATGCTATTGTTATGTGAAAGTTACTCACTTCTACTTGTAGAATACTCCATTTTTTAATCTTCGATGATTAAAAACCTGGGCAGATTATATACACAGAAAACTCTCTCCAAAAATATGAGTCAAAACCTTTATGAAACATTCAGACGTTTAAATAAAGAGATTGAATTCCAAGGGTCTTGCTGCATTGGAGAAGCATCTGCAACTGCAGGTTTATCACGTGAGCTCTCTGAACATGCACTAAGGCATCTGAATTCAGCATTGAGAATCAAACACGCAATGAAAATGAGCAACGGTATCAGTGTCAAGCCTCCTGAACGTCAGGAAATCAAAATCAGAAGATACAACAATTGTAGTTAAATCCAACACAGCTGTCTAAAATTTGGCATTCAATTATGGTTTAATATTTTACCTCTTAACTTTCTTAAATTTCTCTGCAAGTGGTCTGTGAAGAAATTAAAGCGTTAAAGGAATAAACAGTTTCCAGGACCTGTAGTCCTTAGAAATTCTGGGTCTGATCCTAAGTGAATTTTTAATTGGCCAAATTCAAAAGTGATGGATAAATTGGACACATTAATATTAACTCATCTTCAGAGCTGATTGCACTCTGTTAGCCTAAATCTGCTTGCCAATCTTGAATCTTACCAATCTGTAGACAAGCCCAACGTGCTTATACTGTGTTTTAGGGAAGAAGTTTGAGGTGTTTGCTTGAGACTCAGTGTTGCCAGATGTATGATAACTGTCCTTGTTGTGTGGTTGATTTATCCTGGTGTGACATACAACAGATACTTGCAAATTTGGGCAAAATACACAGTAATTCAGGATGATCCAAAGCTTGCTTGTATTTGAAGGAAAATGTTCATAGTCAATTAATTTTTCATCTTAAGTCACCTTAAATTGTCAGTCCCATGCCTTGTGCATGTAGATGTGCTTGTAGGCATGTTACACACATTACATTTTTGCAATTATGATAATTTTTGTTAAATACGTTTGAAGTTCAAGCACACTAATTGCCATTTTTCAAATCAAACAACACTGGGCTCAGGAGACCCAGGTTAAAGTCTCTGTTCTACCACAGACTTTCTTTGGGATCTCAGGTGAGTGAGTAAGTCTCTCTTTGCCTCAATTCCTCCTCTGTGAAGTGGGGATAAGAGCACTGACCTGCCTTGCAGGAGTTTGTGTGGATTAATGTACAAAAAGCTATGAGTTGCTCAGACACTCTGACTATTGGGATTATATAAGAGCATATGGGAGAGCAGGGAAAAGGCTACTTTGGGTTTGACCCTCTAGCCTCCATCTCCTGGCAGTAGTTAAGTTATTTATGTGTCACAAGAGGTGTGATTTTTTTTTACAGCAGTAAATTTATTTTTAATTATGTACAATAATACTTCATAACCTGTGGGTAATTAAAAAAACAGCTGTCACCAGAGCAAATGGCAGAAGTTCAATTCTAATTCCAGTTACACTGATTTCTTACTAATGTAGCTCCAGCAGTAAGATTATGGTTAGAATCTGGCTTTACATTTTTCCTGATGAGGTTGCCAGGTTTTTCGTTCTTAGCATTATAGGTTAGCTGACTAGTACAATGAGAAAAAAGGACCTTTTATTCATTCATTCATTCATAAGATGTAGGCAACCTTGGAAGTCATCGGGCAGGAAAGACAACTGAGGTCAAATGACCCCAGCAAGGAGACCGTCCAGTCTCCTCTTGAAGATTTCCAGGGTAGGCGACTGCACCACCTCTGCGGGGCTGCGTCCAAATATATAAACTATCAAAGCTAAGGTGGCTGTCAAATTAAAGTAAATACTAGGCCTCATTCTGCTCTCAGATTCAGTTTACTGAGAATGATTGCTGTTGTCACTGATGTAAAACCAAATGAGGGGGCAGAATCTGATTACTAGATATAATTAGTTAGGTCACATCCCCAAAACTGTTTAGAACAATAAAGATATTAAAAGATTTGGGTAATAAAATGACAGGAAAAAATATTTCAGCCTAGAAACATTGTATTCTAAATGTAGCCTTTGAACAGCTCAGAAGTCTCACAATAAAGCTGTTGTCATTGGGACGACGATGAGTTTACCAGCAGTGGAGGTCTCTGGGGAAGGCTGCAGGAAGAGAGGTTGTTTGTTCATCACACGCAAGGACTGCAGCCCTGGAGATGCTCCCGCTGGCTGTGCTCAGAGACGGGCCAGAAAGTGAACCCTGGAGCCAAACAATTCCGGTCTTTGGGGGCTGTTTGTACTTACAGAGAAATTTTACAGCTGGCCTCCATCTCTTTAATGGGCAAATAAAAACTTCCATATGCAAATACCCTTGAAAATCAGGAAGGAATAGAAGCAGTTTAGAGTTGAACTCCCTGGCTTCAGCTACCTCGAGGCTTGTCCAGATGCAGGCCAGTGCTCCAGTTCAGCTGGTGCACTAGATCTGCTCACATACGGGGCACGTGCCGTAAGGTATAGCTGATCACTGACCTTGTGTACGAATTGTTCTACTCTGGTTTGAAGTCCCCAGACTTCAAATTTCACAGTCACCAGTTTGTAGGAGCACATGATTGGTTGTTGAGTGTCTCTCCAGCCTTCTTTTAGCAGGCCTCTGCCAGTCTTCTGTGACTTGAAATGTTTAGGATCCTGCAAAACAAGGAAGACTGATTGTAAGACTTTGATGGGAAAGTCTTTATTTATTAGTTTACTGATGTCCCTGTTTTAAGTTCTAATGAACCATGGAAACACGTTAAGAAGTATTATGGAAATATAACATGAAGCTGCTTAAATGAATAATGGGACATGATAAAACACATAAAGCTCCTGAACACCATGTCAATTTTGGACTTAGCTATGTCTCACCCCTATAACATATGCACTCACACAAGTGCCATACAAGGATGTAATCAAGACCGATCACATGCATTTGCTTCAACTTATTGTCAAGATCTGTGGCTCACTGTATCCTTTCTCCATGATACCCACGATAATAGGAGCTAGTTCGTTGTACTGGGCATTATAGTGCAAAAGCAGGGATTTGCTCACCACAGGAGCCAGAAGGAATGATGTCTCTTGAACCTAATCCTTAGCTATAAAGTAACCATTGAGAATTAGAAGTAAATTTAATGGCACTGGTTTAAAAAAAATTACAAAGTAATTCATGTACTTCATATCTAAAGAAACCAGTAAGAAAACAGACGTTATTGTGCCATGTACATAGTATGCATAGACCCTGCCTATTTCTCATCCAGGAACTGCATGTCAGTTGGATGGAAGAGCAGCAGAATAAACTCAAAGGTGAAAAAACCGAACCCCAAACACAGAAAACCTTCATTATAAATGTCTCAGATGGAGGAGTGCTCACTTTGCAAACTTTATCAAGTGCGTTATTCTCTAGATGACTTGTACCTTATGTATTCAGTTATGCTGGTGTTCATTCACAGAATCTGATGAAGTAGGTTGTTGCCTATGAAAGCTCATGCCTCTCTGTCCCGGTTAGTCTCTAAGGTGGTGCCATCCTGCTCTGCCTTCTGCATGACTTCAGACTAACACGGCTAACTATCTCTCAGATATATGCTTGTGCAAAGCAAATGTAAAGAAGTCACGAAGAGCTATATCCTGACGTGGCAACATTTTGCATCCAGTTTGCATAGATGTAAAGATGACACATGGCATGAGGGCAGTGGAGAGTCAAGCTCCCAAGGTCTAAGAGAAATAGGAGCAGCGAAAGATTACATGAAGAGATTTCCTCTTCTGTCCCTGAGGCTGATCCTAGGAACTGGTTTTAAGGAAAGTAGTTAGATGCTTTTGAAGCTTATGAGTGTCACATTATGGATGTAAATCTACACTGAGCAAAGTGCATAGATCCATCATCTATTTTAAGGGCCCGACAATGCCATTGTAAATTCTAAGTTAAATATCCAGATAACTAGATGAGTACAAGACTCTAGCAATACAGCAATCTCCAGTTACAGCTCAATCACAATACTTTTGGACAAAACCCTGAAGATCTGTAATTTCAACACAAGCTACTTGATTTTTCAGTAAGTCAAGGAGAGCTGAGAATACATTATTACATTTATAGTCTGAAGGTAGAGCAAAGCCAAGATAACAATTGCTACTAAAAACAAAGATTATATTCAGACTTGATTCTTAAAATGAAATAGGTTTCCATGTTCTCAAAACTCATTGAAAATATAATAAAATGAATTAAAAAAATGGGGAAGCTTTGGTTATGAGAAGAAAGCCAGCATATATTCAGGGTTTACTTTCAACAATAAAAAAGATGTCCTTCATTTAAGTGGATATCCAAGAAATACTTAAGAGAGTAGCTGCAATTTATTGCATGAGTATGTTAATTTTTGTCTATCCGGCCTTATGTCTGCTCTTGCTAATTACATCTTTTAAGTCTTGGAGAGAATTTACAATTAAATATTCATTTTCAAAATATGGGGACAGGGAAGTAGTAGTGATTAGTGAAGTAGTAGTAGTACAATGTACCTCCTTTAATCCATACTAAACATCAAGCCCCGGAGGCTATGATCTCAGCAAGCTTATGCTTAAGTCCTTTCCTATTTAGGAACATAGTTAAACATACACTTCAATATAAACGGTGCTGAAGTGATAACATAAATAAGGGTCTGGATAAGGATGACTTAAGGAAGGGGAAAATTGGTGACTCTGTTCTTTTTTTTCCTAATGTTTATTGTTAGCGCCAATGGCCCAGCTTCTGATTTTGTTCATAAAACTGAAGCTCTACCGTTTCACTTTTTTAACTAGCCTCTAATGAAGTGATGTTCTTCCCATCTTTATGTACGTCATTCCTTTTATTACTTTCACATCCTCCTCCACGAGCAACATGTTTGCAATACACTCTGGTTTTAACCAGAGAAAAGAAAACATCATCACAGAAAACAAAGCAGCTACATCACATATCAGAATAACATACCACTGTACATCACAAATCACAGGTACATAATGTCTGCCCATCTTCTTATTCAATAAAACTTGACCTTAGCTTGGTCTGGATATTTTCCAGTTGAAAAGAACTGTTGTATAGATGATAACTGCCTGAAGCGAGCAGCGCAATAAAAAAAATATGAGAATCAAAAAGACTGGGGACAAAGAATTATAGCAGATACAGCCACAAGTAAGGAAACAGGTTACAACAACTATATACAATTATTTTAAATATTCCTACCAAAGCTGAATGCAGTGAGCAACTATTTTTAAGAAATCGGGCAGAACTCAAACGTAAATGCTGATTTCAATGAGATAGTTGTTACAGCCCTCAAGTCTCTTTTCTGGTATTATAGCAGAGGTAAAAAAGAGGATTTTACATTTCTCATGTTCTCTCATATAATTGTATATTTGTCTGCTAGGATGTAATACTGTCAGAGATCATCTCAGAGATTTGATGATAAATAATATGTATTTAAATCAAGATTTTCAAAAAGTGATATTGATTTTGGGTACATTGGTTTTTAGATTGCCCAACTTCAGACACTGTAAAGGGGTCTGATTTTCAGAAAACACAGAGTACACATCCTTTAGAAATCAGGCTACTTTCAGATATCTCAAAATAAATATCCAAAATCACTAGCTTACAATCAAAAGTCACACCATAATCTCTCTTGGTTCCTTCAGGAGCAGATTTAATAAAAGCATGGTGGTACAACAGCTCATTTAACGCAGTCCCCCTTACCTTGATATTTGACTTAACTTAGATAGATAGGAGTTTATCATGCCACTTACAAGGCACGTCTACATGTGCATTAATGGTTATGGCTCATTAAGTTTAGTATCTGTAATAACAGGTCAGGTACTAACTAAATGCACAGTAACTGGCACTACTGCACAGTTGCATTGGCACACAGCTTTTAGTGACACTAATGCACAGCAGACTAATTCTACTGGGCATTAGTGCAATAGCACAGCTTTGCTGTGACACACTAATGCGCAGTAGAATTACTCTACTGCGCATTTAATATCTCATGTAGATGCGCCCACAGTGTCATTAATTCTGATTGTCCATTGCCAATGATAATATCCATTTTTTAGTTCAATGACTCTAGTTAAGAACTGTGTCAGCCAATCCATTTACTGTTAAGAATTTTGGAGAAAAATTTCAAAAACGATTAAGTGATTTAGGAAGCTGAGTCCCACTTTTAGAACTTACAGTATATCTTTGTAGAGCCTGACATTAAGAATACTTATGTCTATGCAACTTGAAAATAAGTTTCAGGAATCTGAATTGTTTAGATGTTTTTGAAAATTTTGCCATTCATTTCTTTAAGGAATTTTTCTTGTATTTGCTTTTTCGGATAAACTAGTATTGTATTAGTAGAGAAGAGAAGCTTAATAGGCTGATGATATTGCTAATATTTCAGTTCTAGCCAGCAGTAAGAGTCATATTTTTGTCCATATATTCTATGGTAGTTAAATCCAGAGATTATTTTGATCCATGAGGAAAATAAAGAAGATCAGGACTCTCAGCATTATTTGATGCATTTAACTGTATACTTTCTATTGCATCAAATATTATTTTCCGGATTCAGGACGCCTAGATCCTGATCAGTTTGCTTTCCCAATTTAGTTACACTCCAGTATTTATTAGCAGTGTGGATGCTCCTTTGACATCAGTAAGGAACTTCCTGCTCAGACTGCAATAATACTGAATTACTGTTGATTGCTTTTAAATTCATTATTTAGATAAAGTCTGTCCGGAAAACGTATTATTTCTTCTAGATTTCCAGTTTGTCAACCTGAGAGCCTGTGGATCAGAATCTCTTTGGGATCCTGTGTTCAGATGCTGCCTTAAGGAATTCTGGTTTTATATACTCACAACTAGATTTTTTGGAGCAAGGACAGTCTTTTCCTTGTGTATGAATACATTGCCTAGAATGAGGAAACAGTGGTCCTGGTGAGATCAGTAATATTTGTAGATCTTACTACATTACAAATTATTTTTGGTAGTGATGATGATGATGATATAGGCGTCTACAACTTTAACTGTTACATAAATCACCATTTTTTCCCCATCAAGGGTCTTGGAGAGATGCACTGTGTGGAGTGCTTCAAACAGTGAGTGTACAGACATGCATAGCCCAAGAGGCACTTCAGAAACAACTCTCAAAAAGTAAGGAACATCCTTGAAGTGCTTCCTTTTGAAGCACTGCCTAGAATGTCTGTCTCCTCAAGTGGTCCCCCAGCACTCCCCTGGGCTCTGCCTGCCGGCGCAGCAGGGCAGTTCCCCAATGAGCTTTCTCCTGTGTGCTCAGCTATCCTCAGGCATGCAGGGATTCCTGCTCCCCGGCTCTCTGGAGCTCGTGCTTTCGTGGCCATTTTGAAGCACTCTGTGGAAGTCAGGGAGAGCCGTGTGTCTGCAGGGGGCTGAATGGGAAGTGCTCTGGGATTCAGAGTGCTTTAAATGCATGTCTGTCCATGGCCAAGGTAAACCTTTAGATAAAAAGAGGCACATTCACTTCTGAAATCAACAGAGACATGTTTATAGTTTGTCTCAATAGCCACATTTTCAAAAATTGTCAATGAAAATTGAACAGGTGTTTAAATCACATGGACATCAAATCACACATGTGGTCATAGGGTTGTGAGGGAAAGCAAGGGTCATTTAAGACCACCCCCTG